AATAAAAATCTTGAATCTTGAATTTTGGAAGTTTAGCCTACAGCTAATGGTCATTTTACTTTGATGTCTTCAACTGGCATAAATATACATTAATATATTGATGCATTAAAATTGGTGATTGACATAATTATACAAGTCATCATAAAGGATGGAGTTATGGGCTTTCCCTGTACAGCATAAAGTGCTTTGTAGCATAATTCTGTCATTCTCAGGTCTATGTAGAAAATGATTCATTTATGGAGATTTCTTTCTACATAAAATATAGTAACAGAGAAGAAACACAGCAGAGGCTAAATCAGTGACATGCTTCCCAGTTGCATTAATAATGAAACTAAATAAGTTAGAACTAACTAGTGGCTGGGCATGATCATCAGTTTCAGCATCTTCCACAGGCAGACATTTGAGGCTTGATTAGCAGCGCAAGATGGGGAGATAACTTTATGGGAAGGCACATTTCAAAGTAATACAGAGAGGAGTATAATAGCATTAACATAAGTTAAGGCTAAATTTGCAGCATTTTGTTTAAGTAAAATGTGCTGTCCTGGCAAGAGGTTTCTTCTTTGATGGCGCTGTGGAGGGTGACACTGAACACATACTAATCAGTACAGCCAGTTCTCTGCAGCTGGGCTAAAACAAGCACTATCTTTATCTTTCACTTCAAAAGGATGAGGACGGATGGAGAAGGGACAGGGCGCCCACCATGAATTATTCCTATTGATCATGTGTCTCCCTCACTGAAAAGCAAGGACGACAAAGCATCCCTGCTAAAATATTCCCACAAATAATGGGAACAATTATTGACTGACAATACTGTTTTTATTTTAATTTATTTTTAAAAAATCTGAGTCCCAAACTACAGTATATGTACACCAATACTGTTAAATGTAACTTTGAATGTAATTGTGAGCATCTGCCATGTTATGTTTTTTAGTATAACGGGATTCTTTTCAACACTGCCTTTAACAACTACTTGCAACTACATGTATATAAAAGGGCTCCTTTTTTTGATTACCCTGCTGAGAATTACAGTATCACCGAACTCTCCAGTACATCACAGCTCTGCAAAACTTTAAAGCCTGTTCAGCACATTGTTTGGTTTTATGGCTGGAAAATTATACTGGTTTGGTTCATTCTTATCATTTCTTTCTGCTGTATACTGCTGTTTTCTGTTAAAGAAAAGCCAAATTTCCCTCAGGAGTTAGTAGAGGCCAAAAAGTGTTAAATGGAGAGTGTATATTGGTCCTGCATTCATCAGGTGGACACAGCTACAAATCCAAATGGGTGCTACTGTTGCACTGTATCTGCTGAACATATAAATTTGCAGTTGCTTGTGTAGAAGGTATTAACTTAAAAGGTGATAATATGTCAATACTGTGTTTGCAGATTGCTTCTGCTGCATCAAAGTGAATAAAAAGTTGGTTATTTCAAGTTTATTTATTTAATCATATCTTACACAAATAGCGTTAAATGTAAATATCTTCTTTTAATGGTCTATTTTTCCTCTTCACAGGAATGGAATGTTTAATTTGATGTTTGAGTGATCCTTTGAGGGTGCCTGGTATCCAGATGTGTACTTTGAAACCTTTATTATGAATCATGGAGGAGAAGAGTTCATTTCTGACTCGTCAGGACAATGACAGCACAAACATTTGGGCACCGATGCCAACAGCTCCCAGCAGACAGCTGGGTACCCTTCCCAACCCCCAAACACGCTTCAAGGACCTGACAGGGATATTTTTCATGGTGACCCTGAATGCTCTGGCACTTCTGGCCAACACTGCTGTTCTAGTTGTTGTCATAAAAGCCCCTCATCTTAGGAAATTTGCCTTTGTTTGCCACCTGTGTGCAGTGGACCTGCTGTGTGCCATCTTGCTCATGCCTCTTGGGATTGTGTCAAGCTCTCCGTACTTTCCTAGTGTGGTGTTTACTGTGCTGGAGTGTCAGGTCTACATCTTCCTCAATGTAATCCTCATAGCTGCCTCTATTTTCACCATCACAGCCATCAGTGTGGAACGTTACTACTACATTGTCCACCCAATGCACTATGAAGTCAAGATGACACTGAAGCTGACTGCAGCTGTCGTGGTACTGGTATGGGTGGCCTCTGCTCTGCTGGGCTTGTCCAACGTGTTTGGGTATCCACCCTATGGCAGCCTGCGCACCATCAGTGCTGCGCATTGCTCAATATGTTGGAGCCACAGCGAGCACAGGCCGGTCTTCTATGTGCTCTTTAGTGTCACATGTTTCTGCCTGCCTGCTGTAGTGATTTTCACCGTCTATTGTAATGTGTACAAGGTGGCTCGTGTGGCCGCTCGCCAGCATGGACCTCTGCCCTTGTGGGCAAACAGCCAACTGAAACACCGCTCTGACTCAATAAACAGCCAGACTACCATCATCACAACCCACAGTGCCCCACGCAGGATTATGCACAATCGGCTTTTTGGTGGTAGTAAGGCCGCTCTCACTCTGCTTGTTATTGTTGGTGAGTTCCTGATCTGCTGGCTGCCTTACTTTGCCTTCCATCTCCACCTGACACTAGATACAACACCCAGAATCCCTGATGACCTGGAGGATGTGGTCACCTGGCTGGCATATTCCTCCTTTGCTATAAACCCATTCTTTTATGGGCTTCTTAACAGGCAAATCAGGGAAGAGCTTTGGAAGCTGAGGCGTTGCTACTTGGCCCGGCCAGTAGAGCTGGGTGTCTCCAGCCATGAGGGCTTAGGCCATGAGAACTTCCTGCAGTTCCTCCACAGGACCAGCTGCACGTTAGAGACATGTGCAAGCTTTGCCACATCGAGTCCTAGAAGCACTCTGGATCAAAGTGGGCAGACTGGCTTCAGGTTACCCGGGCAGATTCCAGAAGAGTTCAGTTAAATACCTCACTGTTGCGCCACAGCATTAATAACCTGGAGACTCTAAATCCACGGGGATTCACAGTACTTCATGAATGTCTACAATGTCTGTAATCTGTATACAGTAAAATATAGCTTCAAGAAATGAACACTTACTTTCTTGTCTTTGAAAGCTGAAACTCTTTTATACTGTGTTTTATACCTTTTACCCTCAGAAACAAATACTGGAACACAAAGCTCATGGTCATTTTAAATTATTGTTACTGAATCTCTAGTAAAACTAGATGTTATATAGTTACTAATCCTACTTAAAAATGTTTTTCTGGTGACTAAGGAAATGTTACTATTTATCTGCAATAAGTAGATCTATTTTATTAAAAGCAATGAACGCAGGTATCACATTATACTTGAACAGTATGTCATGACAATATATTCATTTAAAAGGTCTATTTCTCATAAATAAGATGCTGAGGGTGAGACTGAGCAGAAATGTATTCTTACAGTACAAATAGAGCAGCAATATTCTTTATACAATTAAAATATTACACAGTTGAATGTTGTGTGTTGTAGGAATTTCTGCAAACTTTATTTATTGTATTCCAAGAAGAAATCACTTTTTATTCAAGAATTTGTTGTTTCTTATGGCTTCAAATGTGTAAATAAACACTGATCATTACTTAGACCGCAGTAACCTTAGTGCACATCACCAGCAGGCAATATATACACCTTTTATTAGCACATTGCGACTTAGATGTGAGTGGCATTCAATCAAAACTGAAGGAACAGGCTGTCTTGTGAGCATGAGATCAATAGCCAGACTCCCCAGTACAAGTTCATCCTTGAGGTCACTAACTGTAGGTTCCTTCAGATGAATTTGCCAGCTATATACTTCAAAATGTAGGGGTGAACTTACAATATAACACTAAAAGGAGTGATCTGCAGCTTTCTACATGTTGACTTTTTGTCCTTGTGCAGAAAGGTTTTGACTTCTTAGTC